TTCTTCTTTACAGCATTACCTTCAGTCTCAGTCGAGGAGTTCAGCTTCCGTTTCTCATTTTCAGCTTTCAGAACTTCTGGATCCTTTCCAGTTGTCTTTTCAATATCCATTTGTTGATCCTCTGTGTACTCGTCCGGTGCTTTCTTTCCTTTTTGTGACGGTTCCTTCTTTTCTTCCTCCGAAGACTCACTAAAATCTCCACTCTCTGATGAGTCACTTGACGAGTCGCTGTCCGAGCTCTCATCCGGGCTTGATTCGTCATCCGCTTCTGAAGTCTCCATTTGGGCTGCTTCCTCTTTAGATTTTTTTCCTTGGGCATGTTTGGAAGCTTCCTTTCCTTTCTCTACATCCTTGGCAGAAATTGTAACTGCACCTTGAGCTTGACCACTCAGCATCTGGACTGTAGCATCCACTGACAATTCTGTTGCTGCACCAGTTTCCGCACGCTGTAAGTTGTCATGTCTTGGAACACTTGGCTTTTGCTTGGATTTATTGGCGTAGGATTTAGGGCATGTGAAGAAAATGTGCCCCATGTCTCCACACAAAGTGCAGGTGGCAGTGTTTCCACATTCCATAGCCTTATGGCCAAATCCTCCACACTTCCAGCATTTCATTTCCAGACATTCTTTAGCCTGGTGTCCTGTAGACTGGCACACATAACATGAGGAGGCTTGACCTTGATAGCTAATTTTGCCGTTGTAAGGGCCAAAGGAAACAGAATTTGGGATGGGCATCATCTTGCCTTCAGCATCTTTGCGGAGTTTTACTTGATATTTCCTAATCCCATACCACATTCCAAAATTATCCACAGGTTTAACTGCGGGCTTTAAGACATCACAGAATCGTTTTAGGTACAGTTCAACATCATAATCAGAAATGCGTCCAGTCCAGAACTTGATAACAAGTGTCTTAACATCCAGGTTTGCAGGGGAAAATACTTCAAAATCCTTCCAAGCATGTTGGTTGGAAGAGTGCAGCTCAAGGAACACATGTAAAGCTTTTTCTGTGTTGAAACAAATTTCAAACTCTTTTCGATTCGGTAGACTTATGAAAGAATAAATGTCCTGTAAGGTGATCCACTGGGACTGAAAAAGGAGTTCACCAACATAGTTACGGTCTGGTGGTTCTCCAAGTCCAATATATTTCAACTTAACCCAATATTTGATGAAGCGATCGCTGAAGGCTCCACGAGACGCCATTGCCGCGTCGAGACCTTCAGCGTAATAAGACGAAACTTTGTGCCTTAAAAGTCCACAAACAGGAAGAAAATCCAAAATGTAAGAGTAGGAAACAGGGACCGCAGACACCGCAAGGTGCTGCGGTCAAAAAGACCACACTAATTCTCTTCTTTAAACTTTAATTTCCTCCTTTTCCTCTACCAGACATGCTACTTAGCTCTTCACTTGATAGCTGCAAAGAGAATCAACAGCAAATGGAGCGCTGTACGTGCCTGTTATGCTCCTCTACAGGACCTAGTTGAAACCAAGGCACGGGAGGCGGAGCCACGCACAACAGACACTACAGAGAAAACAGCAACACGATGGAATCAAGGAAAACACACAAAGCAAATACTGCCACGAAATAAATATCCCTCGTATTATTGTAACTATTACTATTACCAATACTTTTATTAGTGGTATCATTTCACAGCCTTATAATATTATCAATACTCTGTGCATAGTATTATCAATACCATTTGCAATATGCTAAAATATACTTATGGTTTAAAGATGTTTTGCTCTTTTATTTATATTGTTTATTTTCTTAATTTTGTGAAAAATAGAATTTGTTTTTTATCTTTAGTATTATGCAAATTGTCTTTGCAGTAATAAGTAACAAACTGTAACCTTGATAAGTAATTGATAGGGTTAATACCTTGTTTTGTAATTCTCCTCTTATTACTTCTTTTCTTGAGGGCCTTGCTCTCCCTTTGCTGCTGCGGTACTGTGAATTTCCATGCTGTAGAACTAATAAAGGGTTGTCTCATCCTATCTTATATAATGTCATTTTAAGTCAAAACATAAAAAATTATACAAAGCACAAAAGAAATATTGAACAAGCAAAGGAAGAAAGAAAAAAGAAAGAAATGCATTAATTTTAATACAATTCATCTTAATTTAAGTCAAATTTAGATCACTGTGGTTTGTCCAGGCTGGTAATATCAAAAGGTATGAATATGCATGAGTGTGTGTGTGTGTGTGTGTGTGTGTGTGTGTGTGTGTGTGTGTATGTGTGTGTGTGTGTGAGTCAGAGAGAGAGAGAGAGAGAGTATTACATACAATATCCTGTGGTCAAACTGTGAACTGGCAAGTCTGAGAAAGACCACTAGACTCCTTATTGTAAATGCTGAACTACTATACGAAATTATGTGGTTTGGTCGTTATAATTACAGTAAAATTATTGACATTTTAGTTCCAATTTTATTTATGCAAACTCACAAACACAGTAATTCAAGAAGTCACTCAGCTACACAATATTTCCACATATGAAAATATCTCTTATTCTACTGCTTGCACGTTCACATTTTGACCACACGAGGGCATCCAAGCTCCATCGATGACAAGTCGCCCTCAGCCCAAAACACCTGGGGCGAACTGTCTGCACTGTTTTTGCTTCTCTGATCAGCGAATTAATAACTAAACTATAAACTGGGTGCTGCTATGGTCCAAGTGTCTTCTGGTTATTTTATTTTAATTCAAAAGCAGTTTTGAAAAACGGGAAATGGGTCAGTTCTCGTTTTGGTTCTAGCTTCATTTTACTGTTTCTCAAACTAATCATTAAATCAAATAACAAATATGAAACAGTGGAATAAAGGGTCGTATTTAATTAATCCATATTAAAAAAAATCCTATCACATCAACCGGAAATCAGCGACCAGATTGCACGTGTTATCAAAAGCTCAGAAATCACTGAGATCAGGCGATCGGGTTAAAAATGATAAAGACAGAAAAGATGCATTAGTGTTGAGCAGACAGGCCTAATCCTGACATTTTAGGAGACTATATGATGTTTTTTACAACTGTTTCTATATTTGATGTAGTTACTGTATCAGTAGAAACTGAAGCGATATGAGGAAGAGACTCTTAAAGACTCCCGTCATTTAACAGCGAAATCATAGAGAAATGAAAGTCCCGCTGCTCAGTAATGATGAGGAAATATAACACTGCAATGTGGCGCCGTTAGAGGAGAACTTCGTTATAGCATCTGTGTTTCTGCTCCAGATGTTGTGGGGAAAATGATTTGCAGCTTTGCTCCAGATTTGGAGACTTAAATAAAGCCCAATTTCTTTTATTGAGATTAAGACTCTCCAGAAAACAAGCGCTAATCTGAGTTGGCCCAGGCGTCAAACGACAAACCCACAAACATCCACGCTTTTATACTCATTTTTGGCAAGCAGGGGTCGACATGTGTGTCACGCATCCCCCTGGTTCTGACTCTTTAGAGGACACCATTTCCCAGGATCCTCTGCGTGAACATATGACCATGACGTCATCCCACACCATCTATCAGAGATGTGCCTCACCGGATCACTGATTCTGTTCACCTGCTCTGTAGACCCCTGTAGTCGTGTCGTCATTTTGTGCTCTTACGCCCATAAGAGCTATCTATCGGCCAGAATGAACAGGGTTTTCGAAAAATCGCCTCTAGCGCCCCCTGTGTTCAATAAACATGTCCAGAACCCGATACGTTCTGTCCTGTGAACGTTCTTCTCTCGAACACCACTGGATCCTCTGAATTACGAGGTCGTTAAAGAGTTGTAATATGAATATTGCTACATGTGAGAAATGTACTTTAAATTAGATTTTAAATGCCATATTTAAAATCAATATAAAGGGCAAAATTTGTTGTGTAATTCTTTATTTTCCCAGTTAGTACAATTATAAACCCTCACTACTTATATTTATGATATGAGATCAGGTTTATGAGGTTTAATGATAATGAGTAGCTTTGGCCAATAATTGATATAGAATATTTGATTCATTAGACCATATAAGTGCTGATATTATAAATAATTATTATTCTTTTGTTCTCTTTAAGGTACTTTTGGAATTTTTACTGCTTCTTCTTACAAATGAGACTAAATCTCCAGTTCGGTAGAGAGTGAGGTGGATGAGCTTGTCAGCAGGGCAGTTTGGCCATGTTTTAGTTGTAAACCAAACAAAGAGAATATGGATGTTAACAGTGTTACACGCTGTCTGTGCAAAATATAGTTAACATTATAAATTATAAATGTTTAAGTAATATTAGAAGGTAGCCTGGTTGGTAATAGTATGGTCACTATATTGTGGTATATGTTAATTGTCAAGCGTATCTCTGGTCTGATCTATGAGGAGACCCGCGGCGTGCTCAAGGTGTTCCTGGAGAACGTGATCAGGGACGCCGTCACCTACACCGAGCACGCCAAGAGAAAGACCGTCACCGCCATGGATGTGGTTTACGCCCTGAAGCGTCAGGGACGAACCCTGTACGGCTTCGGAGGCTAAACGCTCGACTCGAACAACGATAAATAACGGCTCTTTTAAGAGCCCCCCACAGACCCACCAGAAGAGGTTTTCCTTATGATCCTGTAGTAATGAAAGCAGACTTTTATTGCATTCCGACTTGCTAATGATTTTACCTCTTAAACACTGACGGAATGACCTTAATTTGATACTGAAATAACTGGGAAAAGAGTGGAGGCGAAAGCTTCAACTAGCTGGACGGTCCCTCCTAATAAAGTTTGAAATATTTTAATCTTTTAATTTCAGAATCAAAATAATCCTTTAGTTGTCTCACAACGGGGAAAGTCTCAAAGCACTCAAAAGATAGAAAGATACGCTTACACATACACGGAGTTTGAGGTCACAGTGCACAGTATCCGACAAACACTTTGCAGTAGTAAATAAAATAAGAATTAAAATAGATAAAAAAAAATAAAAAAAAAATAGAGTGCGTCCTACCACACACAAACACACACACAGTCACACTTTTAAACCTTACATTGTGCCGAAAATGTGATATATTTTATGCGCTTTCGTGAGTTCATAATCGTATAACTGATAGGAACGTATGTATTATACATGGCACACAGTAGATAAGAATGCGCGGGAAGGCGAACAAAGGGAAAGTCTTGAGCTGGGAAGAGAAGGAGGGGGGAGGGGTGGGCGTTGCCCGCAAATCGAACGATTGATTGTTGTCCAATGATCGTTTGTTTGCATTCAGAAGGGCGGAGCTATAATTTGAATATCGGAGTCTAGATAAGCCGGTGCGGGCGCGCTTCCTCATTCTTCGGTTGTACTCGAAAAAGGGAAAACCATGCCTGAACCCGCCAAGTCCGCCCCGAAGAAGGGCTCCAAGAAAGCCGTGACTAAGACGGCTGGTAAGGGAGGCAAGAAGCGCAGAAAGTCCAGAAGGGAGAGCTACGCTATCTACGTGTACAAGGTGCTGAAGCAGGTCCACCCCGACACCGGCATTTCTTCCAAGGCGATGGGCATCATGAACTCGTTCGTCAACGACATTTTCGAGCGCATCGCCGGTGAGTCGTCTCGTTTGGCTCATTACAACAAACGCTCTACCATCACGTCCAGGGAGATCCAGACCGCCGTGCGCCTGCTTCTTCCCGGTGAGCTGGCCAAGCACGCCGTGTCCGAGGGCACCAAGGCCGTCACCAAGTACACCAGCTCCAAGTAAGAAGTGACAAACTTCAAACCCAACGGCTCTTTTAAGAGCCACCCACGTTTCCGCTTAAAGAGCTTATTTTGTGTGGGTAACTGTAAGGCTTGCAGTAGAATGAGTTATGTAAGTGTTTAAATGCACATCCTTTGGTTTGTGTATACAAAAAGTGTGTTTGTTCCAGTACGTGATCTGCAATTCCTTCTGCAAACACCTGTAAAATACAGGAAACATCCAGGCTTTGTTTTGAGTTATAACGCTTCTAAACCTCTATCATTTTTTTCTTTTCTTGACATGCATGTGTGTATTTATGAATAAAAATAAACATTGTGTGCACATTTGTTATTGTAAGAGCTGTTTACTTATGTATTCTTTTAATATTTTAGCATTTTATTGCTTCTCTGCCTTTTGTACTTGATCAAGTGTAGTATCTGTTCTTATTAGTTTAATATCTGATGCGTCCTCTAAATGAGGGCTACACATTAAATTGATATTTACAACAAGGAGACGGAAGAGGAGCTTGCTCCGTAAGCTCCACGCATCAACCTGGTATTGCAGTACTTCCGGGAACATTGTACCTCCTTTAGAAAGCCCCACAACCCCATCTTCAGCATGTTCTACTGCTGCATCATTGCCTGGTTTGGGAATTGCACTGCCTCCGACTGCAAGTCCCTACAGAGAATAGTGAGGACAGCTGAGAAGATCATTGGGGTCTCTCACCCCTCCATCTGGAACATTGCTGCTAATACAGTGCTTGCACTTTCTTCACTCTGGTACTGTGTACCTACCTCAGGAACTGCTGTGTTCACGTATGTTACAATCTGACTGCGTAAACTCACAGATCACAGCATGTTAAATAATCTTTGCACCTTATTCCACTACCTCATACTCAGAAATGAGTGCTGTGTCGGCGCTGCACTGTCCTGTCCGTTTACTGTGTCTGAATGTCTGTTTTATATATTGTATTTATTGTATTGTTTCTAGTTTGATTTTTTTTTTCTTTGTACTGTCTATTTTGTTCCTTGTTGCACCGTGTTGTTCCTTGGAGGAACGTAATTTCACTCCACTGTGTACTTGTACATAGATGGAATGACAATAAAAGCCTCTTGACTTGACTTTAAGGCTTTTGAATAGTGGAATAAGAGGAGGTCAGTGTGTGTGGTACAAATGGAAAGAACTATGAAACTATAAAAAAGTATAAAAATGAAGGTTATACTGTATGCCCTGCAGTAGTATGTTGAAGGTAGAGTAAGCAAAACTTTTTTCTTTGTATTATTATTATTGTTGTTATTGTTTATGACACAAATAAAAATTAAATAATGAGTAACTTAAAGTTGGTTAGATGCTACGTCGTATTAAGTCTATGATATAGAGCCAGGCATTAGGCCCATGATGCAGTTAGAGTAAGTAGGCCTTACGCTAATGCTGAAGTGCCATCAAGTACAGGTAGCTAAAGAGCTAAACCTTAGGCTATTGCTGCTGGTAGAATAAGCAAAAGTAGTTTTATATAGATTTATCACTAAGCCTCTGGCTTCTAAAGTAGTCACAGTTACTAAAGGTAGCTGTGGAGCTTATCATGAAGATAGCGTTAGTGTAGGGCAAAGCCTTAGGCTTCAGAAGAAGAAGAGTGAACAAAATTAGCTTTCAAACTAGGCCTCAGGCTTAAAATGTAGATGGAGTAAATGATAGCAGGTTAGAGTGAGTAGCAGTAGCTATGGAGCTAAAGTTAAATGATGTTAAAGTAGGGCAGGGCCCCAGGCTTGTGAAGGAGTAAGAGTGAGTGAACTGAGATGTATAGCGAGCCGTTAGACTTATGATGAAGTTGTAGAATGACAGCAGGTGCAGAGCTAGGCTTTTAGCTGATGATACAGTTTAAGCAAGCCAGAATCAAGCCTTTCATCTGTACACTGGCTCAAAATGTAGTTGGAGTAAGTTATATTAGGTTTTTGGTTTATGGTCAAGTTGGATAATGTCAAAATAGGTTTAGGGCAAGGCCTTAGGCTTATGATGAAGTCAGATTAAGCAAAGGGAGGCATCTAGCTAGGTTTTGTGTCTTTGTTGTAGTAAAGTAAATAACAGTGGATTCATGAGGAGATAAGAATAAAACATAAATCTAAGGTGTAGCTCTATAAGCCCTTTTACTTACTCTGTATATATTTTAAGTCTAACGCTTATGATGAAGCTAGTGTAAGCAAAAATAGGCTTTCAGTGAGCACTAAAGCTTATAATGTAGAAAGCTTAAGAAAGTGTTGCTATAGAGCTCCGTCTTAGGTTTATGAATAAATAAGAGATTGTAAAAGTCAGTATAGGGTGATGTCTTAGGCTTCTAAAGAAGTTAGAGTTAGCAAAATGAGATTTCCAGTAAGTGATGGTAGGTTTAGAATGAGGTCCTATAGGCTTGTAGTGTAGTTAGTGTGAGAACGAGATGTTATAGTGCTACAGATAAAGAATGTCAAAGTAATCTTAAGGCAGGGCCTCAGGCTTGTGAAGTAGTAAGAGTGAGTGAAAACTGAAATGTATAGTGCTCCAATAGACTTATGATGAAGCTATAAAATTAAAATCATGTACAGAACGAGGCTTTAAGCTCATGTTGTAGTTAGAGTAGGCCAAATTTGTCTTACATCTAGCCTTCAAGCTTAAAATGTATTTAGAGTAATAGCAAATTTAGAGTTAGACCTTTTTTGAGGTTTGTGGTGAAATTAGTTAAAGTGAAAGTAGATTTAGGGCAAGACCTTGACCGTTGCTGAGGTCAGAGTAAGGTGATGACCCCTCCTTGCCCATCCCAAATGGTTACACACCATTATCTCCAACTTTCATGACTACTTTGAATACCATTATATCCAAACCTTACAAAATTTCTTTTATTATCGTTCACATCATTGTTAACGTCATTATTTTTTCTTATCAAGAATGATTCCATTATTTCCAAACCAAAAAGTAACATATTTTCAAAGATGATCACAGGCCAAGGCCACAATCAGGCTAAGGCCTTTACGCTTTATTGACTTTGTGTATTACTACTATTCAGTATGGTTACAGCTAGGTCTGTCTATGTATGTTCTTTTCTCCTTCAAAGACATTTTAGTCTTAAAATGGAACAAACAGGTTCTTCTCTCTGTGTGTGCCTCTCCTAGATGTGGCCTACTTGGCCCACACCACTGCACTTTGCGTTCACACTCAGGGTCACCCACACACACAAAGCCATGGAGTATGGAGAGCCATACAAGTAAAATATCATGATATAATAATCTTTTCCATATGAGATTTGGGTTATTTCACACTTGTCAAGTCAAAAGTTCATTTACATTTTGTACAACAGCACATCAGCAGAGAGCAGGCTCTGGCCCCGCGGGCCGCCGACCTCACGCCTGTGCTTTACTCGCTCCAAGAGAGCCCGTTTTACACATAGTCAACGAGGCGCTCGGTCGCTGGAAGTTCGCCCACGCCCTCGCCGAGGCTCTCCCCGAACGCGCTGTTGAGCTCTCCGAAAGTTGACGCCGCCGTTTGCCGCCGTTTTCCACCGATTATCGCGCCAAATACGCCGTCTTTCGTTCGGAGCGGCGACCGCCCGGCGCCCTTTTGAGAGCGCCCTGTAAAACGAGGCGTCGCTGTGCACCCATTCCCGGACTGGGGACACACGGCAGAGCCTCTTCTAGAGGAACGAGCCGCTGGACGCTCGCCGAGCGGCGCTTTCGCTCGTATTTTGCCCGATAAATGCCACGAGAAAACACAAATCTGAGCGCGTCACTGAGACAAAGAGGCACAGCGCCCGCGTGGTTGAGTCTACGCCGTTCTCATGTGCCTTTTAAGGGGCCGGCTCCCCGCCTGAGAGGGAGGTTCCTCTGAACAGTCTAGTTTGTGCTCTTTCTCGCTTCACTCGCAGCAAAAGCAGAACGATGGCAGAAGTCGCTCCTGCTCCAGCCGCCGCGCCGGCCAAAGCTCCCAAGAAGAAAAGCGCTGCCCGGCCCAAGAAAGCCGGCCCCAGCGTCGGCGAGCTCATCGTCAAGGCCATTTCGCAGTCCAAGGAGAGGAGCGGTGTGTCTCTCGCCGCCCTCAAGAAAGCCCTGGCTGCCGGCGGCTACGACGTGGAGAAGAACAATTCCCGCGTTAAGCTCGCGGTCAAGAGCCTCGTGACAAAGGGCACTCTGGTGCAGACCAAAGGCACCGGTGCGTCAGGCTCCTTCAAGCTCAACAAGAAGCAAGCCGAGGCCAAAAAGAAGCCGGCGAAGAAAGCAGCGACCAACCCAAGAAGGCGGCCGCCAAAAAACCCGCCGCGGCCAAGAAGCCCAAGAAGGTAGCGGCGAAGAAGCCCGCGGCCGCCAAGAAGTCGCCGAAAAAGCCAAGAAGGTAACGGCGAAGAAGCCCGCGGCCGCCAAGAAAGTCGCCAAGTCTCCCAAAAAAGCCAAGAAGCCGGCGGCCCCGAAGAAGACGGCCAAGAGCCCGAAGAAAACAAAAGCCGTCAAGCCCAAAGCTGCCAAGCCCAAGACGGCGAAAAAGGCGGCTCCCAAGAAGAAGTAAACGTGCTGTTCACCCTCATGTCCTGTTTCTCCCATTGAAAAAAATGCCCGTTTGAAAAAAAACGGCTCTTTTAAGAGCCACCCACATTTTATTAAAGAGTTAGATTTTCTTTCGTGCTGCACTTAAAAACTGGCCAGTAGTAATACTTTAAAGCGCCAGGGTCAAAATTATGACCGAGTTGCCGTTTGCATTTACACGGATGAGAGTAGGAGCTGAAATTGGATAAAAACAGCGAGAAAACAGGGACTTGCTTTGTTTCCTTTGTCCTCATCTCTTTCTCCCTCAGTTCAGTTCAGGTTTGCTTTATTGACATGACAAATTTACATGTGTAAATAATAATATGCAAATAATAATAATAATAGTTACAAAACCAAGATTGATAACAATAAAGCAATTAAGAAGAGAAAGTGTTATCAATAATATAAAAGTATACACAATAATAAAAAAAATATTTGATATGTGTCTGCAGCACATAATTTATCTTCATCTCCCAAAGTATCGTGTGTATTTTATCGCTCTCTCTCTCTATCTCTGTAACACATACACGCAAGCGCGCAAGCGAAGGGGAGGTGGGGGGGAAGCAGAGGCTTGGAGAAGAAAGGTGGGCGGGCCCCAAATTATGACGACGCTAATATGATTGGTTGTTGGATGCCATCGCATTTTAGCCAATAGAAACATGGCAGCTTTGCCTATATGGAGGGCGTTCGGAAACGATTGCTGTTTATTTTAGCTTAGTTCATCAAACTTAACAGAAGTGCAAAAAATGAGTGGAAGGGGGAAAACCGGAGGTAAAGCTAGGGCGAAGGCCAAGACTCGCTCTTCCCGCGCCGGGCTGCAGTTTCCTGTGGGCCGTGTGCATAGGCTTCTGCGCAAAGGCAACTATGCCGAGCGCGTCGGCGCCGGCGCTCCAGTCTACTTGGCTGCCGTCCTGGAGTATCTGACCGCTGAGATCCTTGAGTTGGCCGGCAACGCCGCTCGCGACAACAAGAAGACCCGTATCATCCCTCGTCACCTGCAGTTGGCCGTTCGTAATGATGAGGAGCTCAACAAACTGCTCGGAGGAGTGACCATCGCTCAGGGTGGTGTTCTGCCTAACATTCAGGCTGTCCTGCTGCCTAAGAAAACAGAGAAGGCGGCCAAGACCAAATAAATTGGGTTCTTCTGCCAAATTATAAAAAAAAAAACAAAGGCTCTTTTAAGAGCCACCCACCATAGCAAGAAAAGTGCAGTTTTTTCCTTATGCTAAAAAGTAGAAAAAACGACTTTCTATTGATCGTTAGTTCAATTCATTCTATCGTGTGTAGGATAGAATGAAATAAAAGCATCACAGCTTCACCACGTCCCACGATTGCGTGCTGAATACCGCTTTGTTCACCTTCCCGCGCATTCTTATCTACTGTTATGTACATTACATACGTTCCTGTCAGTTTATTACTATAACAAGTTTAGGTTATTTTCATTCCGTACACACACACGTGCAAGTTATACGATTATGAACTCACGCATGAAATATATCACATTTTTGGCACAGTGCAAGCTTTAGAAGTGTGACTTAAAGCTCTTATTTTACTCGAATACAAGGCGAATAACTTACACGAACGTCTTTGTAACTACGCGAAAAAAGGTCAAATAACAGGCGTGTAATAATGAATGAACCAAAAATCTGAGTAACGTTACACCGAACATGTAAAACAGAAAAAACAACAATGTGGTACATGAGCCCGCCAAGGCGTTGGGGCAGCGCCTTGTTATTTGAAAATGTTTGGCGCGGCAGAAAACGCCCAATAGCGTTTAAGCCATCGCGTGGGGAGCCGTCCAATGGAAGGCGGGCACATTCCGGACGCCCAATGAGCGGCGAGCAGCTCGAACCCTTAAAAGGGCCGCGGTCTGTGCGCAGAGTTATTCCGTTTCTTTGGTGCAGAAGAACAAAGTTTGACGTCATGGCAAGAACCAAGCAGACCGCCCGCAAATCTACCGGTGGCAAAGCCCCGCGGAAGCAGCTGGCTACCAAGGCTGCTCGTAAGAGCGCTCCGGCTACTGGCGGTGTCAAGAAGCCTCACCGTTACAGGCCTGGCACCGTGGCTCTGAGGGAGATCCGCCGTTACCAGAAATCTACAGAGCTGCTGATCCGTAAGCTGCCCTTCCAGCGCCTGGTGCGGGAGATCGCTCAGGACTTCAAGACTGATCTTCGCTTCCAGAGCTCTGCCGTCATGGCCCTGCAGGAGGCTAGCGAGGCGTACTTGGTGGGTCTGTTCGAGGACACTAATCTGTGCGCCATCCACGCCAAGAGAGTCACCATCATGCCTAAGGACATCCAGCTGGCCCGCCGTATCCGCGGAGAGCGCGCATAAATTAAACAGCGCGCTCCCAGGTTTCCCCAAATCACCCCACGGCTCTTTTAGAGCCACCTAACTGTTTACCCAGAGAGTACTATCTAGTAACCCCAGAGTTCATTCACGTGCTGTGACTGTGTGAGGAGAACATCAACTATCCTAAACTAGCGGTGTCCGTGGCGTAGCGAAGAGAGTGATGCGTGTAATACGGCGTCACCTTCCCGCGCATTCTTAGCTATTGGGTATCACACGTACAATTCAAGTGTCCCTTATCGGGTTTATTCTAAATATAACGAGTTTCCCCCCACCCCTCATTCCTTACACACACACACGAAAATGTTTTGCCTGTCAACTCAAGAAAGCGCATGAAATAAAATGATCGTACAATCGTACACACAAAGGGTTTTCAAGCTAGTTTAAGCATTCGCCACCACTCCAGTTGATCCGATATTAAATCAAGCTCACTCTGTCTTTAAAAGCAAATTACCATGGAGACATAATACAATGCTTGTTGTTTTCACTATTACTGGGTTATAAGGAAAAACTCTTCCGGTGGTCTGTGGGGGGCTCTTAAAAGAGCCGTTGGTTTATCGTTGTTCGAGTCGAGCGTTTAGCCTCCGAAGCCGTACAGGGTTCGTCCCTGACGCTTCAGGGCGTAAACCACATCCATAGCGGTGACGGTCTTCCTCTTGGCGTGCTCGGTGTAGGTGACGGCGTCCCTGATCACGTTCTCCAGGAACACCTTGAGCACGCCGCGGGTCTCCTCATAGATCAGACCAGAGATACGCTTGACACCGCCACGGCGAGCCAGACGCGGATAGCTGGCTTGGTGATGCCCTGGATGTTATCGCGAAGCACTTTGCGGTGACGCCTTAGCGCCTCCTTTACCGAGACCCT